TGTATTCTATCTTGTTATATTTATTATTTTCTATGCTAGATTAGGATAATACCTTGGATGTTCATAATTGTATGTATAATAGAGAAAACATAGATCCAAGGTATTTAGGGTTGCATGTACACTTAGGAGTTTTAGAATGCTCATAACCCAACACTTCTATACATCAAGAAAACACCAAGGAAACCAAGGATGAACGGTGTTTACGGTCCACGAACACCTTGGACCGTAAACCCTAAAAAGGGTGCCAAAGTGTGCCCTAGTCCCTTCTAAGCCTTGGAAACTTGCATAGATCCCTTCCTTAAAGAGTTTACTACTTGAAAACATCAAAAGACCATAAACCATATGGGTTTACGGCCGTAAACCCAAGGAGAAGTGGTCCAGGGACCGTAAACTCCATTTAGGAGTGAAATGGTGCCCTAATCTCTTCCTAAGGCTTATACTTCAAGTAGAAATGCTTCTAAGGAGTTGTAAAGCTTCAAAACGCAAATGGTCAAAGAAAAATGAGTTTACGGCCATAAACTCATGGGTTTACGACCGTAAACTCAATGAGTTATGGTCACAAAACCGTAAACTCAAATAAAGGGTTCCCTTGAACCCTAAACTCAATAGCAATGTCCTGCAACACTTAGATGCAATCCTTAGGACTTATAGCACTTATATAAGGTGTTTTACATGTCCTAGGATGTCTTAACTTTGTTAATTAGTTGTTTAAAGAGTAATTGGATACATATATGTGATATTATATGTTAACTAGGATCATCGTGTGTGTACAAGTCTTCATTCCGTTCATTCAAACCACTCACTACACGTGAGTTCATACCCCTTAATTAACCTTTTAAATGTTTTTAAATGCTTTTATGGGGGGGAATACAAGTTGAACAATTATAGTTATTATATCAATCACATGTGATTAATAACTACCAAACAAGTGGATTTCTTACTTTTCAAACTGTGTTACCAAAGTGTGTTACTTCAAACTGTCTTACAAACTCTTTTACATACCAAATGCTTTTATCAAACTCTTTTACATGATAAATACTTTTACTTAAATACTTTTAACTTATATTCTGTGTATCTATGTAGATATAGTTATATAAGTAGGATTGAAAGGACTTAGGACTGATAGCTCACCTTACTTCCTGTTTCTTGTTTGGTTGTGGACTTAGGGCATTCAGGTTATTTGTCCGAAGGTCATTTGAATCCTAGTTATATATCATGTATATGTGTGTAGATATAAAAGGTTACTTCTTTCATTCAGTTCAATGCCTCTGGGTAGCAAGGGTATACAAACATGTTCATATACGCAAACAACATTACTAGTAAACTACAATAGGTATAGTTTAGGAAGATACTATTACTAGAACAATGAAACATACAATGAGTCAGTTCATTCATAAGTAATACATAGTGATGAGAAACAAACATAATACATAGTGATGAGAAACAAACTTAATACATAGTGATGAGAAACAAACATAATACATAGTGATGAGAAACAAACGTAATACATAGTGATGAGAAACAAACATAATACATAGTGATGAGAATCAAACATAATACACAGTGATGAGAAACAAAACATACAAGCTAGACAGAGAAAGAACACACAATACAGCTAGCACATACATATACATATACATATACATTACATACAGTTATGTGAGCCACTTAACGGGGGGACATGGCACTACCTGTCATGACCCGTTTTGTATCCAGAATCTCCTTAATTGGGGAGCGTATGAGTTTGTGTATAGATCTATACTGGATTGACTATCCTACACCTTGCTACTCGCTACAGTGGGATTGCTTAAGTTACAGGAGTCCAAACGTCATTTCAAACGTCCACGTTTTTACATCTCTTAATCGTATTTTTACTAGAGTCGGTAGCAGGATACAGGCCGATCACATGGTACTTTAAATAACAATTAGTTTAAAGTAGTTAGTACAACAGTAGTTACTTAATACCACACTACACTACTATTTTATTTTCCCTTTACATTTACTTTGTGATATTCACACAATAAACAATAATGTAAGAACTATATTTTTGGTTAATAATAGTCAGATATGGGAAAATACACACTCTTACAAGAGACACACACACATACACTAGATGCCTTGGTAGAAGCTTACTTTTAGTAGGAAACATAGGGTTTTCTAGGAGAGTACAAACAAATACAAACTTTTACAAAACTTATACATTACAAACATCTTACAAATGCTTTTATACAAACACAGACACTAATATACTTATGATCTCACCAGCTTTAAAGCTGATAAACTCTTTCAAAATAACTTGTATTCTCAGGTCACCAGTAGACAGGTACTGGTGCCAGGTTCTGAGAAGATGGAGCTCGTTCAAGACTCATCTTTTATTTTTGATGTATATTTTTGATGTCTATATAACTTGACAAAACACACTTGTATGAAATTAAATTATTAATGCAATGGATGATGTTGTCGCTTGTTTACTACATTGCATTGTTGTGATACTGAACATGACGTCCTCCACCCCCGAACGTTTCCGCCGTTCCGGTTTTGGGGTGTGACAGTACTATCTGAGATTCATCCAGGATTTCTCCAAGATCGTTGTACCTTTGACACGTTTGACCAAGAAGAATCTGACTCTTCGGTGTGGCCCGGACTAGCAGTTGGCTTTTGAGACCTTGAGACAGAGGTTATGTGAGGCCCTGATTTTTGTATTACCCGATGGGGTTGGATGATTTGGTGGTGTACTGTGATGCATCTATCACTGGGTTAGGCATTGTATTGATGCATATAGGTCATGTGATCGCGTACGCCTCGAGGAAGATGAAGCCTCAAGAGGCGAACTACCCCAGTTATGACTTGGAGCTGGGGGCAGTGGTGTTCGCCCTCAAGATTTGGAGGCATTAGTTGTATGGAGTTCGGTGCACCATCTTTACTGACCACAAAAGTTTGAAGTATTTGATGGGTTAGCAGAGCCTGAACATGCGACAGAGAGGGTGGTTGGATGTACTGAAAGATTATGATTGCGAGATCTTATACCACCCATGGAAGGCCAATGTGGTGGCCGATGCTTTGTGCCGTAAAGCGGAAAGTGCACCGATCGGGAACGTTTGTTTGAGGATGACGGTGATCTCTCAATTATTAAATATTATCAAGCAAGCCCAGGTGGAGGGTGTGAAGAGAGAGAATTGGAAGATAGAGCGAATTCGGGGTCAGTATCCCTTGTTTGTTAGGGATAGTCGAGGTCTTCTTACATACTGTGGCCAGGGGGTGGATACCGGTAACCGGGAGTGTGAGGAAGAAGATTTTGGAGGAGTCACACAAATCCAAGTTCTCTATTCACCCGGGGGCCACGAAGATGTACATGGATCTGAGGTTGAGTTACTGGTGGCCCTGCATGAAGCGGGAGATTACATGGTTGGTGGAGCGGTGCTTGACCTGCAGGAAGGTCAAGGCCGAGCATCATAGACCTCACTGCAAGGTTCAGCCGTTACCCATTCCTATGTGGTAATGGGAAGAGATCACTATGGACTTCATCACAAAGTTACTGAGGATGGCGAGGGGTGTGGATGCCAAATGGGTTATTGGGGATAGATTGACGAAGAGTGCCCACTTTATTCCGATCTACGAGACCATCTCCATTGAGAAATTAGCGAATATTTACATGAGAGAGGTGGTGGATAGGCATGGAGTCCTAGTGTTAGTGGTCTCAGACCGGGATGTCCGATTTACATCTAGATTCTGGAGAAAGTTCCATGAGGAACTGGGCACTAGGTTATATTCACTACAAGGAAAAGACCCTTTTACGACTAGCAAACCATGACACTCATTGATTTATGTTACGCAAAAGAGTGTGACATTAAAAAAGTGTCATCTCTTCAAAATATTTAAGGATAGAGGACACGCATTATTGCGTGCCCTTAAATTAGTGTCTCATGTAAAAAAATTAAAAACACGGAGGGCACTTTATCTAAAATGTGTGTCATCTGTGAATGTCATTTTATATTTTTTTTAAGAAACGCGCGTCTCTCTTCTTAGAGGGAAAATGAAATCCCCAAAAATTTTAAACATCGCTTTCTTTTCCTACATTCGTATCGATCTATTCTCTAACATCTCCTCTCATTCGTCTCCGCCCCTCACCCACCTCCACTACCTCCAACCCACACCGACTCTTCAGGCATCACAGGACGATGATGTTCAAGCCCTCTCGACCAACCTCTAGATACCCCTAACACTCAAAAAATGAACGATGCAGTAAACCCTAACACTCAAGAAATAAACTCCAACGATTCTACTCCAAAGCGTTCTTCTAAATACGAAAAATGCAGAGAGCAAAGAACGATGCAGTAACCCTATAAAACCCCTAATCGTTGTATTTCCCCTTTTCCTTCCTCTGTCCCCTCCCGTCGATCCTCTAGCCTAAATAAACCTTTAAGTTGCTTGTACAAAGCCCAAATAAATCGGAATCCAGTGCTAATTTCTCAAATTCTTTCACAGTTCTTCCAATTTCCAAAATTTCAATTTCAAACATATCGACATTCGAAAGCAACCAAAGAAGGGGTTTAGGGTTTTTGGGCTCAATCAAATTCCACACTTGCTGCTAAAATCTCTATGCACAAAAGCAACAATGAGCGCAAACGTGACGGCCTTTACAACTAGTATTCACAACCTTCCTTCCACCATAGCTCCGACTTCAAACCGTCACCCCTTCTCCATCCGCAGTGTAAATCATTCACAATTTGAATTCTAGTTATTAGAATTTGTTTAATTTTACAATTTTGACTTTCACATTATGTCTATGGAGATTTCTCGTTCATCTTCAGTAACGAACAAAGCTTCGTTTCGGATCCAAAGGGTGCCAAATTAAGGTGGGTAGGGTTGGTGACAAAATGACCTATGTTTGACCACATCTGCTAAAGAAGCCTGAAATCACTACAAATGCTTGTTCAGATTTTGAGAATGAGGGTTCTCATATGAGAGGGGATTGGAAGAACTTATGAGAGGGTATTTGGATGATTTCAGAACTTCACCTCAACTACTCTAGTAAGTAGTACATGTAAATGAAATCTTACTAATTTTTCTCACATTATATTATCAAAAAAAACTTTAATTACAAATTTCCCCTCATTACTCTTTTAGGTAGGTTTAGCAGTTCAAAACTCTGTTGTAGTGCTGAAAATATGATGAAGGGGATTTCTGAGGAAGAGTTATATGATATCCTACTCCTAATTATATTCACAGGAGGGGCGGTTTCGTCCAAAGGTTTTTCACTTTTTATCATGTTGCTTTCCATGCTTGTGCTGATCTTAAAGATGTTCAGGTAGCTATAATTCATTATAAATTTATAATCAAATATTTAAATACACAATACGCTTTGTTTATCTGGTATGGCTATAATTCAACAATTCTACCTTTTTGTTGTATTGAAAAGACCAAAATACCCTTTTGCTGTGTAATATTTTTTTATTTGTTTAGTTCCAGGAGTTGAGAGAGTAGTCTACAGCACATGTTCTGTTCACCAAATTGAGAATGAAGATGTGATAAAAATCAGTGTTGCCTTTTGCTGCATCTTTGGGTTTCCACCTGGCAACTGCCATTTCTACAGTGGCCCCACCGAGGTCTGCCAGTTGTTGAAGGATGTAAGGCCATATTGTTTTTAAACAAACAAGAAAGCTTGATAATACTTTGAAACCAGTTTCAAAAACTGGAAAAGTTGAGAGTGTTGTAAGAGGTGAAAAACTTGAAAATGTTGTTGTCGAGACTGATAGTTCTTTGGAATCTTCAGCAGATGCTTCATTGGGATGGAAGAGATGTGCTTGGGTTATTGTTAATACTGCTATGGATGTCACTCTTAATACCTGAGCTCTCTATCAAATTGCTTCTGATATTTTGATTAGCTTAAAACTATAGTTGAGGTATTTGTTTTGAGATGTTATATTAGCTAGAGATTATTCTATGCTCTCTGATATATAGTGATAGTAAAACTTTTATATTAGCATACATGTGTTAACTCATTTAAGATTTAGGGTGTATATTACTTTTCTTATTATTCGGAGGTTGTAGAACTAAATTAGATGATACACATAGATATAGAATCATTTATTGCTTATTTAAGTTTCATTTAGTTCTGAATGATAGTAAATGATCATTTTACCCTTTTGTCCGGAATTAGTACCTAATGAAAAAAATGACTTTCTTGTTTGACAACTGCTTGTAATATAAGTTATAAACAACAATAGCTTGTAAATATATAAGATAGTTAATGGAAAATGCATTGGGGTTTTGACTTTTCAGGTGCAGTTAGCAAATGAGAAGCAGCTTGTTGATCATTACAGCTCCAAGCATCCAAAGGAGAAGCCTCCAAGCAACTCTGAATGATCTGATCTGTATGCATTTGAATTGATGAAAAGGTTTTTGTTGTCTGTTTTTCTTTTTCATTTGCATGATGCTGATATGTCTAGTGTTTCTTTTGCTTTGACCTTTTCATTTCTGCCAAAACCGAGTATAAAAAAGCTTAATTTATATAGAGATGGTTTTGTTTTGTGATGTGTGATTCTAAATAAAGGGATAAATCCAAGAAAAATCTACTCAGTTATTTTAGCAATTTCATTATTATAATTGGGTTGATCTTTCAAAGTATGATGTGGTAAGAAGAAAAAGATTGAAAGTATAACGTTGGAATTGGGTAGATTTTTTTATCATATGATGCATCAATAATAAGGAAAAAATAAAAAAAAGTACAATGTTGTAATAGAAAGAAATGGAAGTATTTTTCTATTTCTTGTATTTAGCCCTTACATAAAAATGTTTGTTAATATGGGGCAATAAAATAAGTCTACTGAGACGATCAAGAAAACTTATTGCAATGGTTGCTAAGGCTCCAATTTGTGAATTAAGTTAATTCAGTATGTTTATGTGTTTTTTGGGCATTCTGATCATGTAGGTGTTCAAAACAATAGAAAATTTTTAAACATATTTCTTTATTTTAAGACTCATTTCACCATTTTTGTGATTACATACATAATGGCAGGTTGGTGACTCAGCAGAGTCCTGAATGTAAAGCCGTATTACAAGAAGTTACTCAACTTGTTGAAGAAAAGCTTGCATCAAATAGCAAAGCATTCCAGAGCACATTTGGTGCTACTCAGGTAATAGATATGGGGACAGTGATTGACTTTATGAAATGTCATGTTTGACTACTAAAATATCCTTTTTCAGCTGAAAATAGATGGCGACTTTTTGTATTTTCTAGAAGAGGTTGCATCCATAGCTGTAAGTATATTTTTTTTACACATGTATTTAATCTCTTCGTTGATGTATATTAATGTGACATGATATTTGAATCTTTATAGTTTCAATATGGGAATCCAGATAAACTTTGCACCCCAATGACTGAAGCTAAGAAGGCTGGAGAGGATCTAGTTGTAATTGACTTACAAATCTCTTTGAAAATCTTGTTCTCAAACCTTTTTTATATTAACAAAGAAGCAATCTTTATGGAGAAAGCGTATGCAAAATACATGAAGGAATATTATATAGGAAGTTAAGCAGGTGTTGAATCGTAAAACCTAGAAAATCTGAAAAAGACAAACCCAAATGTGTATGAATCTGCTGACCGGTTATGGTGGTTCCAAGTTTGTAGTGAAGTTGCATATTTCCAGGTGGCACCTTCAAATGATAGCATATGTTCTTCAAATATTGACATAAGGCATGCACATATCAACAAATGACACATTTTAATCATTAATATAAAATACAAGTTTCATGATTTTTTTATTTTAATTAACAAGTATCATTTGGATCTATGCAAAAATGTAACAAATGTTTACTATGGGGGCAAAAACATTGCTGGTATGAACTATGAAAAATATTATTTATATGTAAATTTCAGGGTTAATTTATTTTTGGTGAAATTTCATGAAATATGTATGATCAACATTAGGCACACATTAGATTTTTTGAAATATTTAATCAAAAAACTCCCACTTGTTGAATTTCTGAAATATTTTATCAAAAAATGCCCAACATCTCACATGCATATATTGGTGATGCATGTAGTGACTGAGAATAAGTAAATGTATATGGTGATGTTGGTGTTTAATAATCTATTAATGAGATGAGAGGGAGAGGGAGAAGTAAGATTGACCATATATTCAAAATCCTATTTACAAAATGATCCAAAGAATCATTTTCCTAAGCTTAGTGGCCTAATTGGCATTGGCAAAGAAAATAGACAAAAAAAAAATATATAGTTGGATGCCATACCAGCTCTATCATATCATCTTGTATTGTATTGCATGTTAAGTTACCGATTTGCCATGTGCAGGTTCTGACAGCTCTAGCAACCTCCTTCCATGCCTTGAAGCCTATCAAAGTTCCTGCATCAGGTTATTCTTTTTAGAAAGGAAATTGTCAACGTAGAATTTAGTCATGGGTTTCTTTAATGTTGTACATGTTTTGTTTTCTATAATAAATATTATGAAATATTAGCAATGTGTTACATTTACTTACTATTGGAATAATTATTTGTATTTGACATATTAGTGCAATGAATTATCTTTATTGTTTGTGGTATTTTCTTTTGTATTATGAGACTTTTAATGTGTTATTTAATTTGAAAATTAGTAAATCTATCAAAAAAATATAATTTTAAAAACATTTAAAATTATGACACTTAAAAATGTGTGTCTTCTTCCTTTATGACATGGGCTTCCTTGATACGTACTGCGTGTCATAAACGCGCGTGTCGTAAGGTTACCACACGCAAATGCGTGTCGTCTTCCTTTATGACAGGGCCTTCCTTGATACGCATTGCGCGTCGTAAATGTGCGTCTTAAATGCGTGTCAGAAATACGCGTCGTAAATGCGCGTTGTCTATAGACGACGCGCAAAAGCGTGTCGTCTCTCGTTATAGCAGGGCCTTCCTTGACATGCATTTGCATGTCGTCTGAGCGTTTTACGACGCGCTTTGCGCGTCGTAAAAGGCTGTTTTTCTAGTAGTGATTACAACACGGCCTACCACCCCCAGACAAATGGCCAGAGTGAGAGGACGATCCAAACACTGGATGATATGCTTCAGGCATGTGCATTGGATTTCGGAGGGAGTTGGGATACATACCTCCCACTAGCAGAGTTTTCATATAACAATAGTTATCTTGCTAGTATCGATCGACCACCGTTTGAGATGTTGTATGGTTGGAGGTGTTGGACCCTTGTTTGTTGGGGTGAGGTAGGGCACCGAGTCATGGGGAGCACCGAGGTGGTGCTCAAGACTACTGAGTTGATTCAACAGGTGCGTGACAAGCTAAGAGTTGCACAAATCCGTCAGAAAAGCTATGTTGACCGGCGCCGATCGGATCTTGAGTTTCAGGTGGGGGATTTTGTCTTGCTGAAAGTGTCACCATGGAAGGGTGTCATTAGGTTTCGGAAGAGGGGAAATCTAGGGCCCCGATATATCGGACCGTTCAGGATTACTGCCTGAATGGGCAATGTGGCCTATCGCTTAGATCTGTCGGACAAGCATAGCCAGATACACAACACCTTCCACGTGTCCCAGCTTCGGAAGTGTGTCACAGACGAGGCCGCAGTTGTTTCTCTGGACAACATCCAGGTGGATGAGAGCCTAAACTACATTGAGAGGCCCATTGCGATTCTGGATAGGAAGACCAAGGTCCTTCTTAACAAATATGTGAAGTTATTGAAGGTGCAATGGTAGCACCGAAGAGGCTCCGAATGGATATGAGGGCCGGGAGAGGAGTTGCGAGATCACTACCCTGATTTGTTTGTGTCAACGGACTTTGAGGACGAAGTCTAGTTCAAGTGGGGGAGATTTGTAATGCTTGTTCCAGGTATCATTTATATTTTTTAAGTTTTTAGTGTTTTGCACTGGGACTCGACGAGTGGGGGAGCCCAACTCGACGAGTAGAGATCGATATTGGATGCAAGACTTATGGTCTACTCGATGAGTTGGAAGGCCCCAACTCGACGAGTAGACACTATAAAAGAAAAACCTAATTTTCCGGGTTTAGTACCCTATTTAAAGAACTTAACCATTAGGGCTGGCCTCCTGACCAGCCTCGTTACTCAGAGAAACCCTAGAATCGCCTCCCCCTCTTGTTCGTTGAAGTTTTGAGTGTTGTGGTGTGATTTTTGAAGGAAGCCTTGAAGAGAGAAGTAGCAATCTTGGAGGAGTGATCTTGGATCCAGAAACTCTACGTCAAGGGCTGCATTTTGAAGGTATAAATCGATAACCTTGACATGTAGTGTTTTAGATCTCATCTTTTGATAGTTTAGGGTTTCTTTTGGGACTTTGCGTTGGATGTCCCAAGATAAGAGGTTTCCAGAGGTTAGGAGTGTAGATATGGCCTCTATAAGACCATTAGAGGATTAAATTTGCAAACTTTAATAGCCTCCATGTCCCATTTATGCATTATGTCCACAATTAAGGCCAAAATGGACCGTGGAGAGTATTTCACGCATGCATGGACGTAAAGTTAGAAACTTTACGTGATTTGTCCACCTTTGAACATCAGATCTGTGTTTTGGGTCAATGGGATGAGAGTTTAAAGGCTTAATGAGTCAAGACCTTCCTCAAAGGAGCTAGGGTTTGAGTCTAACACATATTAGATGGACTTTGGGGGTAAAGTTGGAAACTTTACCCTTCTAGACGTCTCTATGGTTAAGGATCTATTGTATGGAGCTTTAGATTCGACTGGAAAGGACTGAGTGCGTGAAGATAAGGGAAACTCGACGAGTTGCCCTGACAACTCAACGAGTTGAGACGGGTTTCCCTGTCTTTAGATGCTAAGCAACTCGGCGTGTTGATGAGATAAATCGGCGAGTTGGCTAGGGTTTTCCCCGGTTTTCTGAACACTGAAGGAAGTCGACGAGTTGTTAGATGCACTCGACGGGCTGGGTCAACATGGACTGTTGACCTTGACTTTGACCATGGTTGACCAAGTTTGACTTTGAGGATATTATTGGTATGTTTGGATTTTGACAAAGTAGTCATATGATGATTGTAGGCAGTTGATTTGGAGCTGCGCGTTGGGACTTATCTGATCTTATCTTATCAGTTCAGCATTCTTGAGAGATAAGTCTCCTCACCATACCAATGGGTCTAAGGCACCAAGGCCGACCCATTTTATGATATGTGGTACACTAGTTGATGCAGTGTTATGTGGCAAGTTAGTTGGTTATATGCTAGGTGGTATGCTAGTTGTATATGTGGTATACTTGCATGAAAGACCATGGGGGGAGCTCATGGCGCTTGGATGTAAGACCATGTGGGGGAGCCCATGGCTTTTCAGGTAAAGACCATGGGGGGAGCCCATGACACTTGGATGTCAGACCATGTGGGGAGCCCATGGCTTTCCAATTAAAGACCATGGGGGAGCCCATGTCACTTAGGTGTAACACCGTGTGGGGAGCCCATGACATCCTGGAGTAAGACCCTGGGAGGAGCCCACGACATCCCTATATGCTGTATGCATGGCTTATGCGGTTTATGTAGCTTTATAGCTAATATGGTTTGTGTGATTATGTGGATTGTGTGGGGTGTGCTCTGGGGAACTCACTAAGCATTGGCTTACAGTTTTTTGATTTGTTTCAGGTACTTCTGAGCCTAAGGGCAAGGGCAAGACTTGATGGCGTGTCATGCACTCTCGAGCATTTGATTTGATGGGATACTCTGATATTTGAAATAAAATGTTGATGTTATGTATTTGAAAACAATTATTATTGATATTTCACATTCTATGGGAATTTTTGATTAATTAAAAATGAAAAAAAGTATTTGGAAATTTGGGTTGGTACAATTAAACTTAGTATTTAAGATATCTTTTTTAATTAATTAATTAAATTAAATTACATATTTGATTAAATAGCCGATTTTCTAGTAACATTTGGAAATGGATGGTTTGTAACTTTTGTAAGCATGTATGTTTTACATTTTTGTAGATTTATGTCAAATGGTGGAATTAGACTATTTTTTGACATTTCATGAATCATTTTAAAATTAACATGAACCAATCTGGCATGCCAAAACATAGAGTAATCATCTTTTGATGAAGAAGATGACATAAAAGCAGAATTTCGAATTGATGACAATTTATCAATAACATTTAAACGAAACATTCTATTATTAAATATCCAAAGCCAATAAACATGCCACCTAGAGATAGGATATACCTACTCATAAACTTGTTTATAACAATCCAATTCAAACAACTACCACTAGTTGTTGTATCCTCTTCTTTATTAATTTCACCAAAGCTTAAAGAATCAATTTTAGGAGAATAGTTGTTCTATGTTTTTATATGAAGAATGTTCATATATGAACAAAAATTCATACATATATATATATATATATATATATATATATATATATATATATATATATATATATATAATGCAAAATCATATATGACAAAAATGATGTAAGAAAATTTTAAAAATTCTAGAATTTTGTTCCCAAATAGGATAACTTTGTGTACACAATCATTTTTTTCTTTACCAATTTGTTCCTTTACCATTGTTTCTTAAATTT